ATGCGGCCATGCCAGTGTTAAGTTTCAAAAACTCCAGTGCAGGGCCTATACAGTGTCACTATCTTAGTGTCCATAGCCTCCTAGACTTTACACACTCTCTCTTCCTTCTATTTTATGCTTCCTGCAATACAGTATTGTTATTCGAGTTTCAATTTCTCTCTAGAACCCATTTTAACATCTAGCATTCACTGATTCAGTCTAATTAAATATGACCGTGTAACCAGTTAACTATACAAACTCATAGAGTGTGTTTGAGCCCCATTTTTGAGGGGAAAGAATGCATTTTGAATGGTAGATTGATGAAGAATGTGCAGTTAAAAATTAAGAAAAAGTTATGAGTTTGCGTGTGATATTATTATATTAAAGAATGTATTGTTGAAAGTGAATTTTGAAAAAATGAATTTTTTTAGAAGAATGGGGCTCAAAAAGGGCTAGAACCATTCCAATTAAAATTCAACATCTTCTTGCGAATTTGGTTTGGAGCAATAGAGAATATCCAATTTGAAATAAAGAGATCAATCCCAAAAGCTGACATAGCTCGTAAATACAATCTCCAATATAAGCGGCATTGAACATGGAGCGAGGCTTCTCTACTTTTGGTGGACTTGGCAACCATCTCTCATACCCCATATAAGTATTCCCCCAATTCCACTGTCACATTCAACGTACGTATAAGTCGACAAGTTCTCAAGAAAACACAATATATGCATGTTTATATCCACAAAATCCATTATTTGAAGGCCCAATAAGCCACATAATAATAATAATAATAATAATAATAATAATAATAAATAGCTCATAAACCGGTGATTACCTTGTCGACTGATTGGTGCGTCTCGTTTAAGGAGGTTTGAAATCGATATGTTCTTATGGTTTCTATTAGTTGAGCTGGCGGTGGATGTTGTGGATGAGAGAGATTCTTCCGGCTTCTTGGGATATGTACGGTGGGGATTGTAAGAAAGTCATTGTTGAGTGTCTGCTGATGAAGCTCTTAATGGCTGCGCGTACGAGTGCACGGAAAGAGTAGCGACCTTGAATGCCACAGGATATTGGCTGTGCCTGTGCGAGGTGGTTTACCGAAACGAAGCGCGTTGAGTTTTATCTGAGAGGTTTACTAAAAGCATGTGTGATGACAAGTGGCAAGGCTTGAAAGCGTGTTCCAGGTAGGGGAGATAAATAAATAGCGTTTAGCGTCCTACTGATTATTCGTACATTAAAATTTGGGTCTCTAAAATTATATTTTCAACACCTAAGTCAACATAAATTTTATTGACAATTCATGGTTATTGACTGCTTGAGGGAATGTGATTATAGTGTCCTTCGATAATTCGTAAATAAAAATTTGGGTCTCCAAAATTATATCCTTAACAACTAATTTAAAATAAATTTTATAGACAACGAGTGGCTATCGACTGCTCGAGGGAATATGAAGAACCAAAAATCCACAAAAATCATATACCAATAAAGCATGACTATCAAGTGCTCAAGGGAATATGACGAACCAGAAATGCACAAAAATCATATACGAATATTGTAAGCTCCATGACTAAAAAATCATTGCTAAATGAAATATGAAATAAAAATGTCAAGTAATCTGAGAAATTGTTCAAGGTAAATCAAGTATTATAAGGCTTCTTCCTAACTGCTAAATTGTTCACATTTAATGTGCTACAATTATAATCGGACCACCCATGTTCGACTAGTAACTCATACGCGTTTTGGCGGGACGTATGGTATGCGCTCTTCTTAACAAATATTCTGCAAAAAATGGAAATTATTTGTCAAAGCACTTGATGTATTAATCAAGAATGAAGAAGAGGCATAAATTTGCTAGTACGAACAAAAATGCGATAGTTTGTAGTTCATTTACTGAAAAACAACACTCTATAACAACTATGGGAGTTGATGAATATCTTTTCTTCACAAAGTTAAGAGATCAACAAAAACACGTTTTGCCAAGCTCGAAATTAAAAACTAAGTTACTTTTAACTAACATTTTGTTTGGATGACTTGCTTTTTTAAGGTGACTTCTACATTTCCAATAAAATACGTAACTTATTTTTTCAACATTCACCAATAGAAAAATTATACTTAAGTGAACTTTTTAAGCTTATTAAAACATGCTCATAGTCAAGATTTCAACAACTGGAAAATAGCATACCTGCATTTCATGGGGAAGTGCTTCAGAAACTGCAAGAGTGTAGCAACCAGGAGCAAATCTTCCTGAAAAAGGTTCAAAAGAATGATACAATCGGATCCAAATTATTGGTTTAACAAACACAAAGCTACTGACTATAAAAGGATATGCATAGCATAAATTAGCACAAGGAACAAAAGATTGCTCCACGAGGCAAGATTTAACATCTTCCCAAGTAAATTTCAGAAAACTTGAGTTCGCCTGGATATTTCCTCCCAGTTATTGGCTGGAGGAATGTGACTAGTACTCAAATGTAATTCTATAAGCTGAAGTTCATTATTTTATATTAATTTGGCACATATATAACTTGACATATAAAGATTTTCAAATTTAATCTCAAATCCCTTCCAGCCCTCATATTTGTTTTAGCTGGATAAGTGTCTTTTTCTTCAATAATGATACTAGAATAAAAAAGGGTTAATCATAGGAAGATACAATTCAAAGCCTTTAGATGAGAGAGCTAGACAGGTAAAAGAACCAAGAAATATCATAGACAAACTAGATAAAGCTCTTTAAAGAAGCTTGGCAAACGACTTGGGGGGAACGCGTGAGTAGGAATTGACGACAACTTAAAAAGTCCAACTTTGGCCAGCTAAACATGCATAACAAGCAGATAAAATAGTCCATTAAATTAGGCCAAGGCACACAACCTGGGTATAAACCCCAAACCTGCCTTCTACAAAATACTTATAAAACAAGATCAAGGAGTAACTACATCTTTCACCGAAATACAAAAATCTGATCAAGCAGTAGTGTTTACAAGTAGACAAAATATATAGAAATTAAAAATCGCCACTCTCCATGAACATGGAATCTGATAATGTAACTTTACTGATCAGGCAGTGTTTAGTAGAAAAAATATTTGAATAGAAAAGAAGCCCAATGAGCACTACAAAACAAGCTGCAAATGGAAAAACTGTTGCTCCTATATAACAATTGCAGCATGAAAACCAAAATTCCGAGTCCTGTTTTAAATGGCAGCACAAATGTAGGATATAACATATCTATAAAATAAATTTAAAAAGCAGCAAAACATAATTTTAAAGTACACCATTGAAACCCGCAAAAAGATTCATTAGAATTTTATTATATAAGTGCAGCATAAAGAAATGTGGATATTAGCAAAGGGCAATAACAACAAACTTAGCCATTGCCGCAATAGATTGAGGTTCATCTATATAATCCTTGATCTAAAACCTAAACCTTATACTCATTTGATTTATGCACAAAATTTCAAATATATTGGTACCAATAGTAGCGAAAATAAAGGTAGAAGAATGATAACACACCAATACGGAGCCATCGGGCAGCCCAACTCCTAGTTGGGTCCATGACCGATATAATCCTGTATATAAAACACAACTAAAGAATGTTAGATACAGAAATAACATAAATATGCAAAGGAATGAAACAACGAAAAACTAGGCTGAATTCCCAATTAATTTGAGGTCGACTACCCTAAACCCCTTTTCATACCATTCATGTCACTGTCAACCTACCAAAACCCCACCATTCTACTTGGACTTGGGAAAACATATGCAGAGAATGAAGGGTACCAAAACCTGAGGACTTTTTCTTTAGAGAAGCAAGAAAAATAAAAGAAAAACTAAGAAGTAAAATGATGCCAATAACAAACAGACCCAGTAAAGTTAGGAGTGGTGCAGTCAACAACACGCTCATGATCGTCTTCCATCTGAAAGAAAGGGCAATTCTCGCAACCGGATTCCCGAAACTGCAACAATCAATCAAAATAGGAGTGCCATTATCATTTTTCTTGGTATTTTATTGACAAGAGAGAGAACAATAACTCGATAATTTTATCTTTTTCTTCTGGGGCGGACGGTTATAAGAGGGCGTAGGCAACCTGGTCGTAAGTCTTGACGAGACGGCAGCGAAGGCAGGCTCTAAGCTCGTGGCCGAAACTAGTAGGTATCTGTGCCGGTGGTGGTCCTCCGCCCTGATTTGCCATTCTCCTCCTCTCCCGCTCGCACTGGTGCTTCCCCCCTTCTACAACTACAGGCTACAGCATTCCTTTGAACAATAAAATTTTGGAAATTTTTGAAACGGGTCCTTCTATAGTTGTCAGAATGAAAATTTAGCTCAAACCCAATTTTTTTCATCAAAATACATTTTTCAACAGTAATTTGATATTATTTTAATCACACATTTTTTAATAAAATAATATTATATGCAAATCAAAAAAATTTCCTTATTTTTTAACAAGACATTTTCTATCAATACATTATTCAAAAATTCATTATTTTCCACCAAAATGGGCTTAAACATGGCTTAACCCCGTTGTTGTTTGGCTCATTTTCAAAAATTCGTATTTACTCTTCATTTTCGAAGTCCAAGTTTTCTTCCTATATAATTTTCGTACCCAATTCATAACATTTTTCCTACTTTTTAACTATTTATTCTCTAAAAAAAAATCATAAAATATATTCTCATAAAATCTTTCTCAAAAGTGTCTGCACTTCTAAGCCCATGTTCAGCTATGGACAGATATCAAATCATTTTGTATTTATATAATTTTGTGAATTCACTTATACTCTTTATTTTCGTTTAGGGTCCGTTTGATTGTAAAGATGGAATTGAATTAAATGGAAAACGAATTCCGAAGAATTAAATTGCCTAAAAAATATTTTTTCTGGGAATTTTAAATTATTGTGTTTGATTGGCATAATTTTTTACATGAAAAATGTTGAAATAAAAAGTGTTTTTTAGTGTTCGTTTGACTTTGTTTTAAATGAAAATTATCAATTAAAATAATAGAATTTAATGGTATTGGAATGAAATTTGTTTCCATAGTAAAAAAAAAAAATTCAAGAAAATCATTTATCTTTTGGTATTCGTTTAACATTGTTTTACATAAAAATTGTCAATTAAAGGGAAATATTTTTTTACAATAATTCTTAAAATTTGTTAACTTTGCCAACATACAAAAATGAAAAAAAAATATATATATATGCTACAGCCCCTAAAAACCAAGAAAATTTCAAAGTTCAAGAAAAGCAAGAACTTGAATTTCATGGAAAAAAACATACCCATCAAACACCTTAAAGTTGGCAAATATTGTTGAAATTCTATTTTCCATGGAAAATTTATTCTAATTCAAATAGTTTATAAACCACTGTCAAATTAATCTCCCGTTTGGCCCCCTATAAAACTTTTCAATTTAATTTAATTTTTTCTCTCTCTTACTTTCAACCACACAATTTTCAATAAAATAATATTCCACTCAAATCGAAAACTTTTCAACCACACAATTTTCAAAAAAACACTATTCCCCCATTATAAATTTAAATAATGGGGTCCAGACGGGGGGGTAAATGAGAATGTTGCACCATGCATCCCAAATGACACTGAATGATGCTACACGTATATTAGAATGTCCATAATGGAGTTACCCTTCACATGAAGAGGGTCCACCGCATTATGTACAAATAGCATATTCAATAATATTTTTGGAGAATCGTCCATCTTTGATTATTGGTAGTACCATTGGTCCCTAATGCAAATAAATGAGGAAAGGGTCAGTGCGGTGCGGGATAGGACAAGAAACACCGATCCCTGCACACCGTCCCGTTTAGTATCTCTTTATGATGTTTTCAAATGCAATTAAGCTTAAAAACAAAATTGATAATAAAAAAATTTAAAAAAAAAATTAGTGGTTGATTTATTTCAAGTTGAAATTGCGATTCAACAAGAGTATTGAGAATTTGCTAAACTCCATCACGTAAAATGTGAGAGGAGAAAGGACGGTTACCAATTGGGACCGCATTGCCATCTCGTCCTTATGGCAGAAGGAATGGAGATCTATCAAGAAAAGGTTGAGGTTGAGGTTGAGGTTGAGGTTGAGGTTGAGGGTGAGAATGAAAGAGCATTGAGAAACTAGGAGTTAATCGATTTTAAGGAGTTAATTGTTTCAATGGTTACTGAACTTAGGTTCATGTCTTTAATTGGCCACTGAACTTTAAAATGTCGAGTTTTAGCCACTGAATTTTGAAAAATATTAAGTTTTGGTCACTGAACTTAGGTTCATGTCTTTAATTGGCCACTGAAATTTAAAATGTTGAGTTTTGGTCGGTGAACTTAGGTCTATGTCTTACATTGCTCACTGAAATTTAAAATGTCGAGTTTTGACCACTGAATTTAAAAATATGTCATACATTACTCACTAGCATAACTGTTAAATTTTGAAAAATATTGAGTTTACAGTGAATAATATACAACATTTTTTTAAAATTCAGTGAGTAATGTACAACATTTTTTAAAGTTCAGTCGTCAAAATTCGACATTTTTTAAAGTTAGTGATCAAAACTCGACATTTTTGAACTTCAATGGCCAATTAAAGACATGGATCCAAATTCATTGACCAAAACTCGACATTTTAAAGTTCAGTAATCAATCAAAAACATGAACCCATCACCTAAGTTTAGTGACCATTGGAACTATTAATTTGATTTTTTAAGGGACTATAACTTTTAAGTTTAAAATATTTAGCCCCTATTTGGTATGAATTAGAGATATGATCCATAACTCTTCTACCATTCATTTTATTAATTTTGATCAAAATTTTAGCTTTTGTTTGAGCCTCATTTTTCAAAATTTATTTTCAATTAGACATTCTTAAATAAAATAATTTTACGCATAAAATGAAAATCATTTTTTTAAAACTTTTTAACCATGCATTTTTCAAAAAATCACTGTTCAAAAATACATTTTTTTTTCTCAAAAGTGTACTCAAACATGGACTTAATTCCCACGAAACACAATGTTAGATTTAGCAAGATTTCAAATATCACATATTATTGGTTTAAAAAGTTATAGAAGCCGATGTAATATAGTGGGGAAAATTTTATTATTTTACCCCGACTTGGTTATTCTCAATGGTTACTTCAATTTTATTTTGTTATTCATGTTATTCATCTATTCAATTGTAATTTACACTAATAAATTTTATACATCATTAGATTTTCAATTTTCACATCTTTCAATAATCATTGCTAGATAATGAGCTTTTCAAATAATAAATTTGTAATTAATTATTAATATAAATTCCCACGGATTTTGCATTAATCATCACAATGTTTATCACCTTTCCAACAATTTAACATTTTTCCCCCTCGAAGAAACCATCTAATATTTCTTATTTGAGATTAATAATTTAACATTTTGAATGCTCTATTTGAGAAATTCACCTGACAATTTTACTTTTGTTGATTATAAAAATTGACATGTTAATTAAGTTCAAGGGAAAAATAATCGAGTAATTGTTGAAATATCATAAAGATTTTTATTTTTTATTTTTTCCCATTCAGAAGTGTTTTATGGATAACGATAAGTTCTCAAAAGTCCTTGATTGGTATTGCGAAGTTTGCTATGGTGTTTCACTGTTTTGCAAGGAATCGATTGAGCTCAACCTTTTATAGAAGACCTCATTCCTATTCATAATCGCAAAAATAAGAGTATGTCATCCTTAGTCATGTTGGAAATTTACTTAAACATGCACGGCGGAAATAAAAACAATTTCAATTCCCATCAGGATTTATCTTTGTATTTAGATAAGAACTGTGATGAGAATTATACAATTTCTTCAATTTGCAAACTCTTTTGCGTTATCTTTGTTCCAGCAACTTGAATCTGCCTCCCACAACTGTCCAATTGTCCAGCCTCCAATGAATTCCATACAAAGAATAGACTGCAACTGCTAGGATTTCTCCTCTTGTGCTAGCAAGAATTATGAAAACTCTATAGATCTAAAACCTTAGCCATATATTTATTTAAGCCCAAACGGGCTCGGTCCAGTCCTGTCCAATATTTAATTAATCCATTTAATTAAATTCGGTCCGTGAATTAATTAATCCAATTAATTAATTCGGGGCTATAAATAATCGGTCCAATTAATTAATTTATCCAACGATTGTTAAATTAATTAATTGGCAATTTGTAATCTTCCAATTTTCTTTTGTGTACGAACCATCAGATTCCCGACCACGATACCTAACAACGTGAAATATTATTTTGATCTAATCAAAACTGATAAATTAAATACCCTTTTGATTTATCACAAATTCACACTCGCCGTCCCGAATTAACATCTAGCAATGTATCAGGACAACTAGCTATTGAGTTCAGTTGTTTAGGTCATCATTTATCCTAGGACATGATTTGTGATCTATGCCACAATGATCTTTTACCAAATAATCATTACTTTCACCTATTGGTAGATTATATGATGCTACCTTCAAAGGTGCTACTTGTCTTGTACAAAGTTATTGTTGTGAGATGCTGACATTATCATGACACATATTTTCAATCGGATAATGATTATTTATCTTGGAGACGAGGACACTGTGAGCGACACTGATTGTATGGACTTATGGCCAACCTACATTGAAGTTTTTTTTTCTTTTTTCTTTTTTTGGGAAAATCTCATGCTCGAGTAATTTAAAATCAGTTCGGAAAGGGCTTTGTGATTGTATTTTAAAGTTCGATCCTAACAACTTTCATATTAACATTTTTTTTTGGTTGCAAAACACTTCGTCCTTGTCGGTTTCTATTCCGTGGAGTGATCTTATTTTTGATATTCATTTTTATGTTCTTAAATTTATATTGTATCTAAATATAAATAAATAAAGTAAGTCATTGCTTGAGCTTTATTTTCATCAAAATGCATTTATTTTTTATTTATTCTTTTCAACCATATATTCTTTAATAAAATAATAATACGCATAAATCTAAACTTTTTCTTTATTTCTCAATCACACATTTTTCAAAAAATACTATTTCAAAATACATTTTTAACAAAAATAGGGCTCAAACAACGGCTAAATAAACTGATAGAGTTAAAAAAATTTAGTTCCTATCTCTCTCAAAATTTGCAATGACAGGGAAAGCTATCCAAACTGTGATAAGTATTGGGCATCCATATTTTCCTCAATCATTCTTGATAAGCTATTTGACAAATTGAATTAAAAAATAATTCCGAACCACATTAAAAAAATGAATTAAAAACTTATTTTTTGTTATAAAAGAAAAAAA